GGTTCGACACTCTTACTTATCGAAAGAGGCTATAATTGATCCCGTATACTTGCGGGTTATCAGAGCTCCACCTTTAGTCCCGGTTGGTAACAAATTATTAATTTTTTGAAATTTTGTTTTCTGATTTTTTTTGGAATTTTTTTTTATTTTCAAATCTCTGAATTATTTAATAATTTAATCTCTAATCACCCCTCATCACTGCTCACTACTCAATTATGAACCACTCATTCCAAATCGTCTAACTTCCCGGCCAGTCACGCATCCTCTCACTACTCCAGCCTAAGCACACTTAACTTTTGAGTTCTGTTCCCCCTAGTTTCCAAGTATGCACTTGTTGTTTTCCTAACAATACTAAGCTGTCAACCCTATTAACCCTTAGGAGTTGATCTTGAGCATAAAGCACTGTTTGAGTTTGAAACTATTATTCTAAAAAACAATAATTATTTAGTAACACTAATATTTCTTAAATAAGTAGTTTGACCATAGATCAAAGTTTGACCAGATTTGACCATAGTTTGACCAAAATTCAAAAAAACTAAAATAATTATTTATTAACACTAATATATCTTGCATAAGTAGTTTGACCATATTTAACAAAAATTCAAAAAAAACTAAAATTTGAGCATATCTTTTTTCCTTTCAGAATTTAAGGATTCTAAAGTTTTGCAAACAGGCCTACGGCGGTCAAAATCGGATGCGGATTTTCGTGCTGATTTTTTTTGATATATTATGCATTTTTTTCGACATTGTATGCAAAAGATATGGCTGTTTTACTTTTTCATAACACTTTTTTGCAAAACATGTCCAAATTTATGTTTTTTTAATTTTCCTAACTAGTAGATGTAGTAACATAACTATATCTCGAAGGATTTAAATTTTTGAAGGTTTTATAATTTTCTTTTTTTTTTACAAAACTGAAAAGCCGATGGGGCAGGGGGGTAGAGTTTGAACCTTTAGTCCCGGTTGAACCGGGACTAAAGGCATCGCACCTTTTAGTTCTGGTTCGTGTCTCAAACCGGGACTAAAGGTCCTATTTTAAACCGGGACTAATGCCTTCCCGACGCCTTAGCCGCTCGAACCGGGACTAATGCTCACATTAGTCCCGGTTCGTGATGCAACCGGGACTAACGTGTATATTGAGTTTGGACCAAAGCCCTGTTTTCTACTAGTGTAGATGTGGGAATCAGCGAATCTTCACCAACATCTACTCCACTTACTCTACATTCTGTTTGATGACATTAATCAATCCTTGTCTCCGCATAGTGACCGTAGGGTAATTTTTTATTACATAGTATGTTTCCCAACATCCGGAAGGGTTTGGAAGGTCCCGGAAACTTTTGGAATATTCTGGAGGGTCCGTAGTTGTATTCTTCGGAGGGCAAGGCTCCACAATGGGGCCCAACTCGGTAGCCCAAGGACTCCTCGGAGGTGTTGTATTCTTCAAAACTAGATCGAGGGGTCGTCTTAGAGAAATTATCATGGGTGGGAGCTATAATCTAGCTGCTGGAATGGACAAAATTTCACCAACCCCTCTTCCTCTACTTCTGCTGCTAGATTGTTGGTGAGATGATCGTAACTTGTACCTGCATAGTGTTCATGTGTGTGATCGTGCATGAATACATTTTTATTACGTTGCACATTCGCCAACACTATGCTACACCTGGCCAAATTTCCATGCTATGCATAGTAGTTGCTGTACATTCTCCCCGTATTTTCCATGCTACATCTAGGGTTGCCATGCTACACTTCGGATAGTTTCATCAGGAGGGTGTATGAGAGCTAACGATTGCATCGTTCCTTTGGAGGGTGCATAGGAACGAATAGTGCGCCTCATGAAAATTGTTATGTGACACTGCTTTAAGATTCGTATGTTATAGGAGCGAATAGGAGCGAATAGACGCACTATAGGGAGTTCCCTCGAAAGGCCACTCTCAGAGAACAACACTTTTGTAGCATTTTCTATATATATGAAGCAACCACCATAAGATGGTCTGATGTGTTAATCCAATCAGATGTGTCAGTTGATAATAACAAGAAGGTCTAGAAGATGAAGATACCTCTTAAGAATGAAATCTCTGCATGGTATCTTCGTTGTGGAGTCATTCTTAATAAAGATACTTTATTAAGAGAAATCGGCATGGAAGTCCGCAATGTGTCTTTTATCTCCATGACGAGACAATAAAACATGTATTCTTCCGTTGCGAATTGGCTCGCTCTATATAGTCCGTCATCCAAATAGCTTCTAGTTTCTATCCTCCTTGTAGTCTTGCTAATGTTTTTGGCAACTGCTTACATGGGACTGATCACGGGTTCAGAACACTTCACGGTCGAAGCACTCGTTGTTATCTGGTCGCTTTAGCCCCCCTTCAGTTTAGGCGTTATACAGACTCTACTTGTTTCTTTGTATTTTATCTCTTTATTTTTATTTGTGTGAGAGGATTTTGTTTGCCTGTTTGCATCTTAATTATGCAGAGGCCGGGTGTAATGCTTACACATTTTAAAAATGGCTCCGTCTTTTTGAAAAAAAATGAAGCAAGCACCACATGTTCGGTAAGAACACAGACCATACCCCCCCCTCCAAAAAAAGTTGGCAGTCTGCCACAATAAGATCATAAATCGTACTACTACCTAGCTGAACCATGTGCTTAGGGCATCTCCAGCCGCGCCCCCAAGAAGGCCTCCCCAGGCGATTTTTTCGCGCCGGCGCCGAAAAAACGGCCCAGTCGCGCCCCCAGGAGCCCGATTTTCGCCGGCTTGGGCCAAAAACAGCGCCGGCGGACCCAGCCCGAACCCGGCGCGCTGGAGGGCGCCGGGGCGAGTTGTTTTGGCGCGAAGAAGCCGCGGGCCAGCTGCGTCAGCGACTCGGCGCCTCGTCTCCCCCCCAACGGCCTCGGTTTCCGCGGGGAATCAATGGCAAGGCTGCCGCCGGTCAGCCTTGCCATTGATTCCTTCATGGGCGGCGCTTCACGGGGCGGCGCCGACGCCTCCCCTCCCTCGCACGCGTACACACGGGCGCGGCCCGGCTATAAAAGTCGGCGGCCTCCACTCCACTCTCCTGTACCCACACCAGCCCCGCCCGCCCCTCGCCGCCGTCCAGCCCCTCCCTCTCCTTGCCTCTCCCGAGCGCCGTCGCCGTCGCCATGGCAGAACGTTTCCCCGGAGACGAGGCGGCGGCCAACGGCTTCGGCCGCCGTTCGCTCCGCGTTCTGGAGTCCTGGCTCCTGTTCCAGGCGAACATCCCGGCGCCGCCGGACATGCGTGCCGGGCCATCGGGGTGGAGGCTCAGCGCCGGGGGAGTGCCCATTCCCCCGTTGCCCGACGCCGCGGCGAAGCCAGAGTACTTCGCCGAGGAGGTCGAGATCGTCCACGCGTCCCTCACCGACGCCCAACGCTCCCTCCCCCAGTACGCCGCCGACAACCACGCGGCCTGAGCGGCGTAGGCGGCAGAACAGCGAGGGGCGCCACCTCTGGTGGGGCGTCCCCGGCCGCACACTCGAGGGCGTGCTCATGCACCTCGAGGGCGGCAACGACCCGCCGTTGGCATACCCCCCGGCGACGCACCGGCGCGTCCTGCCATGGGCGCCAAGGCGGTTCGGGTCTTCCTCCTCCTCTTCCTCCTCCCGATCCTCCTCGCACTCCTCCGGCACTCCGGCCCTGCTCGCCGTCAAGGCCGAGCCTGCGGCGGAGTCGCCGCTTGGTCGGCGCACTCGCAGCGCCGGCATCGTCATCAACGAGGGCGGCCGGCGCGCCTCCTCCTCGGCTCCTCCGCGCTTCGTCAAGCCGAAGACGGAGCCGGGACTGGCGCCGGTGAAGACGGAGCCGGGACTGGCGCTGGTGAAGGCGGAGTTCGTCGACGACGACGCGGCCCTAGAATGGGCGCGCCAGGACTCCATTGCGATGGAGAAGGCGCGCCGGGAGAAGGCGAAGGAGCGCCAGCGCGCCGCCCTGCGCCGCTTCGAGGAGCGTCGACGCGGCCGCGACGAAGACGGAGTCGTCGTCCTATGCGACAGCGACGACGACGACGTGCCGCCGCCAGTCCACCATGGCGACGTCGGGTCCAGCCGGGGCGTCCGCGTCAAGGAGAAGAAGGCCGACGACGACGATGGCGGCGACGGCGGCGACGACTTCAGCCCCTTCTTTTTTAGGTTAGCTTAATAATGTAATGAAAATGGGCGAATTTGGCCGAAATTCGCCATGTTCAGACGAAATTTAACTACTCTTTGTCATAACTTCGCCGAACGGCCCCCTTTTTTTTTACACTCGCCTGGGGGCGGCCCTGGGGGCCGACGGCTGGGCGACGACTCGCCCCCAGGGACTTTTTTTCCGCCGGCTCACCCCAGGCGGCGCTTTTAGACGCCCCCTGGGGGGCCAACGGCTGGAGATGCCCTTAGGCAGCGGGTGCATGAAAGCAAGAAATCGCCGCTGTTTCCTTCTTCCCGTATCCCTTTCGTCTTCTCAGACCATGGCCGAGGACTTGTCGGTAGAGCTTGTGTCAGCCAACAACAAAATCGTCGACTACAAACAAACTGGTGCCGACGTACTCAGGTCTAACAATAATACAACCTCTATCCCGAATTATTTGTCTTAAATCTAAAATAAGTAATTTGCGACGGAGTACTAGCTAGGCAGCAATACTTTGGGTCTGCTCTCTACCTTCTCAGTTTTCTAAGCTGCTATTTGGATGCCAATTCTCTGGAGTCGAATATGACACGTACATGCGCTGTACGTCGTTGCTTAAGTCCACAATAGGGGCCACTTTTATATGGAAAAAAAACGCGGTGAGAGCAACTGCACCCTATCGAACGCGAAAAACAGGTGCTAGCTTCCAGTCGGGCCTTATATGCCAAGGCTGGAGTCCTTTTCTAAGGAACTTCTTGTGAGCAGGGAGCACGCGCTTTTCATGACGTTCATACCATTTTCCCTCACCGCTCCTTCTTAAGCTATTATCACCGCCACGCAAAGCCAAACAAGATCTAGCAAACCGAAGAGAAACCAGGAAAATGTCTACCGGAGTACGGCGGGGCTTGATGAGCTTGATGCCTTCTCGGCTTGATGAGCTTGATGCTTCCTTGGCAGAGGAGCTTCGACGGCGGCCAGAAGTAAGGATCATTAACAAGTATGCGGTCATTCTGGCATTCATCCAATTTGGCGTGAAAGGTATGGGGACCTTGACCCCTTTGTGGGGCACCGCGGTCCTCCTGGGCGGCTTCGTCTCATCTCTGAAGCAGATCGATTTTTGGTTTCTGACAATCATCGTATTACTGCAGGCCGCCGGGTTAGTGCTCAGCAATATAGCTCTTTACCGTATGCATTTTTGTATTCCTTTTCTGTTAAGACTCCTATCCTATGTAAGTAGTTCATCTAGCATACTTCGATTTATCTTAATATGCATATGTGTCACCTCACCATACATGATACATGTCGTCTTATCAAAGATCCACCTTAATATGCATGATGGTAAAATTATTTATTAGTTGATCATCACTACTTCTGTTTACCTTTTTTTCAGAAACACTACTTCTGCTTATCTTAACTTGCCCATAGCTCACCTCGTCACACATATGCCACCTTATTAAAGGCCCAGGACAACATGCATGGAAAAAAGTTTTTCATTATATTATGCTAATCTATTTATTAAATACTTATAACTATCCAATAATTAAATACAACATACAATATATATTTTCAAGTTTTGCACATTTATTATTAACCCAAATATCCATGCTTCATATAACTAAATCCCATTAAGATCTATTGCATTTGCTTCTTTCAACAACGCACGGAGTATGATATAGTTGCTAACACCCTAGTGCAGGGGAGGAATGCATAGGTTTATTTGTGCCTTTTTTAGCTTTTTAAACTATATTTTGAATTGTGTGTCCAAATTTCAAGTGGTATTCATCGTTGTGTTCCCCGCATCGAGATCTTTGAAATTACGCCTCATGTTAATAGGTTTCGTGGAATTTATTTATTTGTATAAATCTGTTATTACTGAGCGCATCTCCAACGTTGACCCCTGAATTTCCTCCCGCATTCGTTCATGGACGACGGGGGGTCGGGGGGTCGGAGGGGGGGGTGGCAATCCGCTGTTGGAACTCACCCACGGGATATATCACATCAAAAGTAGACGAACACACACGTTTAGAACTTTTAGCCAAAGGCACGTGTCGTGCCTTACTTTCTCTTAATGCTCCTGGTGTGAATAGTAAAATCAAAATTAAAAAAAGTTAAAAAAATCTGAAATTTATTTGTGGCATATTTTCACAAATGTTTGTTGTGCATGCAAAATTTCATCACAATATCACATTGTGGAAGGCGTGGTAAAAAAACAAAATTGATACTCTGAAAATGTTACTTAGAAAAGCATTTTGGAGCTCCGATTTTTAATTCTTTTTGCACGACTTTCACCAATGTTATTTCGCGATGAATTTTTGCGTGCACGACAAACATTTGTGAAAGTATATCACATAAAACACAAAGAAATTATAAAAAGAGGTGGGAGTGGATGTTAGATTTCCTATGACATGTAGTACAAAAAATTTCATAGAAAAAATTCCTACAGGATCCTATCCTATGAATCAAAGGGCCAACGAAGAAAAAGTTCCAAAGGATATAAATACTTTAGAATTCAAAGGAGCCCTAAAATGCCTCCTTCCGGCAAGATCCTCCAGTCACGTACTAACATGTGCTCTCAAGTGGACTAACATGAGCTTTCAAAGTGAACTAACTTGTGTTCTCATAGGTGAAAATGAAGCAAAAAATTGAAAATATATAAAAAACAGAAAATAATTTTTTTGGTGAGGAAACGTCCAGCGTGCGACACATGGTGACCCTATGGCACACCGCGTGGAGAGCTCGAGCAGTGCCCTTCCCCACTCACATCCTCCTCTCCCCCGCGTGGGACACCCTCCAGTTAGTTTTGTTTTATGGGCACCGTCTGGTTAGTGTTTTCTTAGGAAAACCATCTAGTTAGCTTTATTTATCGAAATTCATAAAAGAGGTAAATATACTAGGAGTCTTAGAACTTGCGCGCGACAGTCATTTTGATGCACAAACTTATAAAATACGTGTTTCTGGTTATCAAACTTACAGGGACGTGCAAATATGGTCACATTTTCTGTACGCGGTGTATCCGCTGCCTATGTGGCAGGCCACGTGATGTGCTTTTTTTTTGTGCAGAAACACACTTGTTTTTCAACTTCTTACAAAAGCAAACGTCAAGCCGGCGTCCTGTTGCATTAGGACGGGCGTCCTAACCAAGCCACCTGACCATGCTACATGCTCAATATGATCTACTAAGTTAGATACTATCATTTCCAATAAAAGTTCACATTCTCAACTATATTTTATTTTCTCTAGATTTTCAAATTAATTTATTTTGGATTCAGAGAAAATTTCTGCTGATTTGTCCGAAATAAAATTATGAAAAATCATTCTACAATACATTTTCTTTTATCTAGATATTTTAATTTAAAATTATTCGAGTTCCAAATAAATCCGTTGATTTGTCCGAAACATTTACGTACATTCCTTCTAACCTATATTTCTTTTATCTAGATTTTCAAACTTAAAACTATTCGACTTAAAATAAAAAAAATTCATTGATTTCACTGAAAGAAATTTACGTACATATATTATGAACTATACCTTCTTTTATCTAGATTATTCAAATGCAACAAAAGTTAGTTGATTTGTCCAAAAACACTACGTACATTCATTCTGAAGTACATTTTTTTATCCAGATTTTCAAATTTCAATTACTCGAATAGGACAAAAATACATTTATGTGTCCAAAAAAAATTATGTACATTCATTGTGCACTATATTTCATATCTAGATTTTTAAATTTAAAAATGTTTGAATTCAAATAAAATGTAGTTGATTTGACCAAAATATTTACGTACATTCATTCTTACCAATATTTACATTTATCTAGATTTTCAAATTTAGAATTATTTGAATTCGAACAAAAATTACCGTTCATTTGTCTGAATGAAATTTACGGACATTCATTATAAACTATATTTTCTTTTACGTAGATTACTCGGAGTCAAACAAAATTTTAGTTCATTTGTCTGACAAAACTGGATACATTCATTCTGACCAAATTTTTTTTTCAGGATTTTCAATTTTAAAATTATTCCAAAGAAACAAAAATTCCGTTGACTTGTACAAAATAATTTACATACATTAATTATGCACTATAATGTTTTATCTAGAATTTTAGTTGAAAAATTATTTGAATTCGAAAAAATTAGTTGATTTGTCTGAAAAATTACGTGCATTCATTCTGCACTATATTTTATGTAATCTAGATTTTTGCATTTAAAATTAATCGAATGCAAACAAAAATATAGTTTATTTGTCCAACAAGTTTATCTAGAACATAAGTTGTTTTCTTACATATAAAATAAAAAATAAATATACATAAAACAAATTGTGTTTGATTTTTTTTTTCATTGTGGCCGAGTGGTTGGCTTTCGAACTCGCGGCTAGCTTATCGGTCATCGGTTCGAACCCTGACTTTCCGTTTTCCCATTTTGAACTATATTTCATTTGTTCGGTACATATCCATACCTACTAATAAAAAAATTAGGTATTCTTAGTCCGTCATGGTATTTTAAAGAAAACTCCCTGATTTTTCTAACATTAAACTCGTAGTAGATATCAAATATTTTGTACTCATATCTTCTAAGCCGTAACTCCAAATTTTAACATGTTATATATGAATATTGATTAGAAAAATATGTAGAATCTGAATATGATGTTATTTTTACCTGTTAACAATTTAAAAAAAATACTATCTAGGGACCAATACCTATGACACGTATGGCAAGAAATAGTGATGAAATATGGATGCACGTACCTGCGTCCACAGCAGACCATACAAAAATGTTCTTTTCCAGAAAAAATAATCTCTCTTTATGCTTAAAAAATCATGTATCTTTTTAACAACTCTTCATGTATTTAAGAAATATGCATGTGAAAAAAAGTGTTCAAGAGTTACCCTAAGTTGGTGAGGCTTAAACTAAAAACCGTCCTTGATGCACACATGTCTTCGTAGTGTGCTTATGTGTCATCGTCTATTTTTGTCGCTTTCCTTTACCGGCCCATAACAATACCTCATTTTCACACATGACATGAATAAATGCATGATCACTTGCGCGTTTTATTGTACGTATTAGATCTATATACAAGCCGTGTTGAAGTAGAATACATGTGGAATCTTAAACTGTGATTTTGTAGGCTAAGACCATCTTTGTTTGGTGCGTAGCTACAAATCTAAGATTATAAACCATTTTTGAAAATTAAGAGCGCGTATCGTTTTCTTCCCTTGCAAGCGCATGGGCCTTTTGCTAGTATTATATAAAGTCAATTTTGCTTGGTAAACGTCAAACTTGAATTGGTCGAGTGGCTATCTATGCCAAGCGTATCACATCAGGTGATTTGTTCGATTCCACCGCACCAGCATTTTACATCTTTATTCGATGATTTTCTGCAACAACAAAAAAACAGTTCGGCCTCAGCCATTGACAGTGGTTCCCGCCATGTGCACGGGATACAGCCAGATAAGATAGAAAGCATCATATATAAACGTGTGGATAAATTAGATGACCGGAAACACGTATTATACAAGTTTATACACTAAACTGACTATCGCGTGCAAGCTATATGACTCCTGGTGTATTTACCTTTTCATAAACGAAAAATCTAACCACCAGTCGGCAGAATTTTAGTAATAGATCCGAACGACTCCTTCGCCGTTCGATCCGAATCATGCGGGCGCGCGCTCGTCTTCCCTCTTTTCCGATTTTCGTCTTCCCTCTTTCCTTATTTTCTGGTTTCAGTTTCCTATTCTATCGGTAGTAATTAACGTTTCCTTTAAAACTGCACCTGCCACATTTGTACTGCTTCGATCCTGGCCCGATTGTTGCTCCCACCCCGAAATCTCGCAACAATTAATGCTGGATTAATTAGCATGCATGCCGCACCATTTTTGCAGGATTATTAAAGCAACGGTCAAAAATATAGGTCATTCACGGGATTTGATCCTTGGTCATTGGTTTAGTACATTTGCCCCCCAACCACCTATTGTATGTCTAGTCCTTGTGCAGATGAAAGGGTATTTTCATGGTTGACTTTTCGTTTTTATATTACCATTGTAGAAAAACCCATTTGTGTAGTGCTATTAGAGTGGAACAAAATTCACCTCGCGTGGCTATGACGGTCTTGCCGCAAAACGCCCCGATGGTGCCGACGGACAATGTTAATACG